GGTGGAGACAAGCCAGTAGTGAAACTCTGGGTTATGTGAAGTTGAGGGGAAACTCCCCTGAAGTTGTGCCTGCAGGAAGCACAGTGGTCTTGGACGGCTTTGTCCACCTACATGGCCCCCACACAGAGAAGTGGGTGACTCTCGGGCCTCCTTCGGTCCCTTTACCAAGTGGCCTGCTGATTGCAAACTGTTTGCACACCTTACCCCGTAAACGTCCCTCCAAATTGTCAGTTTTGCTAAAAAATGGAATGCAAATGGACATAAAAATCCCTCCTAAAGTTGTGCTGGTAGAGATTCATGCAGTTCAGAGGGTCATGGACCAGCAGCATCAGAGTGTGGATGTCAAAGCTGAGGAAGAAACACTTACCTGTGCTAACCTTACTTTCGAATTTGGTGACTCCCCCTTGCCCACAAGCTGGAAAGAGAAGATATCGAAATTGTTGAACTCCATGCCTGAGGTCTTCTCCCTGCATGGCCTTGACTACGGCCACACTGAGAAAGTCAAACATCAGATAAAGTTGAGTGACAAAACACCGTTCAAACACAGAGCCCGACCCATCCATCCCCAAGACATTGACGCTGTGAGAAAGCACCTCCAAGAACTACTAGAGGTCGGTGTCATCCGTGAGTCTGTAGTCCGTAAGAAGGGCGGTACAGTGCGGTTGTGCATTGACTTTCGAAAGCTCAACTCGCAAACAATTAAGGATGCATATGCCTTACCAAACCTAGAGGAGGTCTTTTCAACACTAACCGACTCCAAGTGGTTCTCGGTGCTCGATTCGAAATAAGTGACATGATTTGCAGTCATTCATAATGTCATAGCATTTTATTTTAAAAATGGATTGGTTCCTTGTGCCAAGTAGGCCTACCACATATATATATATATATATATATATATATATTAGTTTAATGTATTAAATTGAGTTGAAATTAATGGTTACTGTAATCGTATATGTTTATTCACGATGTATAACAAAGAGTGAAAAATTGAAGGGGGTCTGAATACTTTCCGTACCCACTGTATATATATATATATATTAGTTTAATGTATTAAATTGAGTTGAAATTAATGGTTACTGTAATCGTATATGTTTATTCACGATGCCTTCAGCTCAAAACATAGTTTACAAACATCAGCAGGATTCCGATCATGGAATTAATAAAGCAGAATTGCATTAATAACAGACTTGTGTATGACACTTACACCGTGTCTAGACCGGACGCAAGCAGTAAGACGCGTCGTGACAAAAGACAGCAGAACCTATTATAATCAATACTGTCTACACTGAATGCGAAATTCCCAACAGCAAACGAATTCCCCGTTATTCCTGACGTAGTCCAAGCTCTTTGCAACGGGTGCTTTGTCGCTTCAAGCAGTTGAGTCCGTATAGTGTTGCGCCGCGCCGCATCCAGTGTAGGAAATATCACTGATTATAATCAATGGGCTCTACTGTCTTTTTTGCTTTCGCTCGCGTCCTGTGTAGACACAGTGGCATGCTATTCACTTCCACACCAAATATACTTTAAAACACCAGAGACCGCTTAGACAAATATGTTTCACATGCTGAGAATGCTAACCTAACATATAAGTATATAACCATAAATGTTTAAGAATAACTTTTATGATTCATGATCAGGTCTTAAACCACACGCTCACGCCAGAAAACTACTAATTGGCCAAAATGCTTTGTTTGACTTTTCGGAGATCATCTACTCTTCCCCTCTGACTTACTTTTTGTTTGATCTGAATTTCTGCGTATTGAATTTTAGAATATTGAATTTGATGTTCTGAATTTCCTCTTCATCTTGAAAACTTGAAGCTGTATTTTAAAAAAACAGGATATTTGCAGTCTAAGATTTTAGAACAAAAAAAAATGTATGAAAATACATGTCTATAAAATTCTGCCTAAAAAATTAAGTTGTTAAATTTCAAATGTTTAATATTCAAGTTCAAAAAAATCAAATTCAGAACTATGTTAAATGCCACATAATATTCAGTTTTGTTAAATGAATAATTGAAATTTACACAATACAAATTCAATTCGTTTTGTCATATTGTAAGCTTCATAGTTGAAGCCCGTGCATCAATGCACCGCTGCACACAACACATCAAATAGCCTCTAACACTCAACAATAAAATAATATAATAAACAGACTAACTATACTAAATTAAATCTACCGTAAACACTCTATTGTAAAACACAAATAACATAAGAAACTAACTTTTAAATATACAAAAGAAATGTGATTGTTCACACTGCGAATTGTTATATATATTCTCTCATAAATCATATGGTGAATCATATACTGCAAGAGTGTATCATAGCTGTTAATGCACTTGAAATATTAATTATTATTAATAATATAAATATTAATTTCGTTGAGTACAATAGGATTTTTGAGGCACATTTAAAACGTGTTTGAGGTTCTCCAGAGGGTTCAGTAAGTGAAGTGATCTGAGAAAGTATCTTTTCATTTTGAAATGTATTAACTGTCTTCTTTGATATGCGCAATTTGGTAAGGTATCCTGCAGGTAAACAACTAACGGATCTGTTGTCCT